TAGCTGTGTTCACAAATGGCTGTAATTAGTTAGCTGCATACTTACTAATTTGTTCACACAGCTAAAGTAACCTGCATGCACAGAAACGTATGCACAACTCTGGGAGAAAAGCACAGGAGAGAGAGGTGCTTCTCGTCCTAACTTTGTCTGCACTTCTGTGTCTGCTCTGTGCAAAACGGGTCCTCAGATATTCAAGTGAAAAAAGTGGAATGGGAAAATGGTGCTGCCAGGCCAGGCTTAGCACGTGCCTGCACCTGCAGACAAGGGACTAGGAGCGTCAACTTTTGAAAAATCTGATTCGACTTATACCTTGTCTAGCTCATCTGTTGGGTTTTTCATATTACTTTCCTTTTTTTAGTTTCTTCATCTGAGTTTTGGCTATTTTCTTCTTTTTCCATTTTCCCCCCCACTACAGAGCCTGTTGATGTCATTGTCCACAACAAAATGAAATGAAAAGCACTTGTCTGAAATTATTGTAAAGGTTTTAATCTTTGACAAATGATTGATCTTTCAAAATTATCAACAGTTTCAAATTTCAATTTAAATTTATGTACATGTCATAAATATATTTGCTGTTACTTGTGCAGTGTTAAAAAGCTACCAGGCAGCACAAGGCACAGAAGAATTTTTAAGCACAAGGTGTTGAATAGTGTGGAATTATTTATACATTTGTATTTATTTACAAACTATTGTGGCACAAAATCTTCTCCTGTTTTCATAGAGCTTTGTTTTGCAGGAGTCCTCCAGACAGGTGTGCCTATGCATTGGCAGAAATCTTTTAATCTGCAGATCCAATTTCTACAAAAGGGACAAAGTTGTACTGCAAGTATTTGCTTTATTTCTTGCTTCCTTTCCTTGTTTACAGCCAGTGGTACTGCTCAGCTTGGCTCTTCTCTCCATCTTTGTTGGTGTCACTGAATAAGGGGATATTCATGCATTCCTAGAAAAGAGTAAAATTTCTTTTTACCTCTTGTCTGACCAATGAAATACCTTAAAATGTGAGTCTGGCTTTCTGAATTTCAGAGTGCTGTATTTGTTGCTAGCTAAGAGGACTTCTGGCTGCTTTATGGCTTCTCAAAGACTTTGCTGAGTTCTGCACGCTTAATGCTTCATCCTCCATTCTCCACACTAGCTGAAAAACAGTCTCAGCTCACATTTTCCTGCAGAAAGCCTTGGTGTTCAGTTGAGAGTGGGTTTTGGTGCTTTTTATTCCTCCTCTTAGTTTCCCATTCCTTCTTTAATTTTTTCTGTCTGTTAGTGTCCAGATTTATGGCCAGCTTTTGTTGGTACGTGGAGCTGAGGTGCTGTGTGAGCCGCCTGTATCCCAGGCCTCTTCCTCTACAGAATGGGAGGCAGCAAGTTGTGCTGGTGTTCATGGCTCCCGAACAGATCAGCACCTTTCCCAGCTGGGTTTGAAAGGTAGAAAAGCTGCACCCAGATAGAGCTGCCTCTGGGCAAGAAGTGAATGAAGGCTGCTGGTGGTTAATGGTTGGCACGGGATGTATTTGTTGCAAAGCTGTTACAGGCGCAAAAACATTGATGTATGGAAAGGTATCTATCCAAAAATCACATGCTCAATTTCTTACAAACTACTGGCACTTTGTCGTTGGTTTGGATGGAAATCTGTTTAGCCAATTCTGCTTCTGGGAGCACTCTATCATTTCTGCCAGTCCCTGAAGAGGGTTTAGGTTTCACCATGAGACTATTTCAAATGGGACTAGGTGATGCAGGAAACATCTTCTCCAGAAGTCATCATCAGCACCAAACCAATCATGTTTTTAATAACCTTGAAATACGTGGGAGTACCAAGCTAAGGTACCTGCTCAGCCTTCCAATCCTTTCAGCACACATCAGAAAAAGAAACTAATACTAGGCAGAGGTGTCTAATCAAAATGTGACCAGGAGCTTGCATTTGACAGCACCGTGAGGTGGTACCTGGCAACATTAACCCTCACAGAGCCGTCAGTAAAGTCCTAGCAGTGATCAAAGTGTCTGAGTGATTGGCTTTGAGGAAGGTTGCTTCCCTCCTGGCTTCGTAACAGGGAATCAACAGCAGCGCGCGCAGGGTCGGGGTGTTGTGCCCAAATGCAAGCCACAAACGCATGCACAGGAGGTCTGTGCCCTGGGAGACTCTTCCAGGTTTAGATGCTGCCTTTCCACCAGGCTGCAGCTCTTTCCCCCTCCTCCTTTTGAAAATAGAGGACGTTGCAATGTTTTGTTGCTTTCCCTTTGGCTTTGTAGCTGCTTAAAAAGTTGCCTGGGAAGACAAGTGTGTGTGTGTCTGCAGCGGGGGCAATTCCAAGAGGAGGGTCTCTGGTAACGAAGCGTCATCTCTGCCCAGCTAGGTGAGAGCTGGGCAGGTTTGTTATGACATAACTCTTGGGGGGGAGAGGGGGGGAGAGAGAGAGAGGGAGAAGCGGAATCTGCAGCACCCCAGCAGTGATATCAGACACGGGATCTGGCAGCTTTGGGGTAAGCTACCACCTCTCCACGCCACCACTCAGAGCATCCCGGATCTCCAGCTCGAAGGGGAGAGCGAGCCAGCAGCGGCAATCATGGCAACGTCAAATGGTTTTATTTCTTCATGACCTCTCTCTTCTCCTCTCTCTCATCAATAATTCACCGGAGGGCTTTTTTTTCCCCACCTCCCCCTCCTTCTCACTCTCTTTTTTGATGGGGAGAGAGGGGAGAAAAGGGGGCACCGGCAAGTGTTTATTTTGTTCGGCGGCTTTTGGCGGTGTGTTTTAAAGAGCTCGGGAAAGGACCCGGGGAAAGAAAGAAAGAAAGAACGAAAGAAAAAAAAAAAAAAGGCACAAAGTGGTGGCTGGG